AAAAACTCCATCAAAGAGATGTTCAACTAAGGGATACTCTTTCAAGTAGGGAGATGGAGAGAGAGAAGGTCAAGTGTGATACTCAATCTATCTATCTAAATAGCCATAAACAAAAACCAAAGTCAGACAAATGTTGTAGTTCTGAAACTCCATTTGAATTTATGAGTAGTCAGAAAAGCAATTGTTGGTAATTGGGTAACTTGTTAACTTGGTCAACTTATTCACTGCGACTTATTCGGTCATTTTTGTTTTGCAAGGAGGCAGCGCGACAACTGCTGTCTGCATAAATTTGATGCTGCCCTTGTTTGCTGGCTGATTATAAAGTTGATTATCCTTTTAAAGCTGCACAGGAATGAATATCTGATTCAATTTCGCATGAATTATTACAGGGAAGTGTCCAAGTGCATAAATTTCATTTTGCCTGCCTTACAGCCTCAAACAAACAGACAGACAAACAGCAGTCAGAAAAGCAGCAACAGCAGCAGAGAGAGAAAGAGAGATGGAGAGATAGGGAGTGAGAGCAGGAGCAACAGCGTTAAGGACCTTACTCTTACTGAATGTTTGTTGGGGCATGCTAGAGCTCAAGACACAAGACTGTGGCCTGGAGAGTGTCGAGGGAGAGGCGCAGGACGTCAGAGTGTTGCAAGTACTTCACTGATGGCTGCCATAAAAAGAGGCGGCAGACTGTGCACTGAGTAGTTGTTGTTGATGTTCTCATTGTTGCTGTTGTTACTGTTCCTGTTGTTGTTGCTGTTGTTGCTGTTGTCGCCAGCTATTGTGGCATGCACTTGCCGAGCAGTGGCTTGCAGTTGACATAGCCAGAGCTGCAGCTTTAGCCACAGAGGCCAGGATTTGAAGGAGTTGATTTGAAGGTAAACAACTAAAAAGCTGAAAAGCGCAATGTGGACGCAACCAAATAGATGGCATTGCATATTCAGTTGGCCTTAGACGCATAACTTGTGTCCTCCGACCGTAAGCACACAAATTTCAAATTTATGTTCTTTTTTCGGGTCACTGAAATGCATAAATAAATGCTAAACACAAACAAATTGTGTGGGTTTAATTGAATCTAGTTTTACAACAATTTCGGCAGAAATGCAAGCACCTGAAATTACAGCGTACAGTATCGTACACATATCTAAAATCTGTTGTCCATTTACCTTTTGCCAATAAAGTGTTCATGAAAATTCAATAAAAAATGATTTGTGTTGCAAAAATGCCAAACTGATTTTTGCCTCTTTCTTTTTTCAATTTTTTTTTTTTTTTTTTTTTTTTTTTTAGAACTTTTTACAATGCATTTTGTATGATTTTTGTTGTTAGTGCAGTTATTGCTGCAGTTGCCAGCCAGCAAATGGCTAAATAAAAACTGCCTCGTTTCCGTTGTCTGAAATCGCAGCAAATTCGTAAAAATATCAATATATATGCATTACATATAGTTGGGCAGGACTGTGGATACTTGGCTGGACAGCGCCCCTAAAAGGTAAGCAACGACAATATAGAAATATAATTTATATCAACTGGCATTTTAGTTTTAGTAGTGGCAGTTGCACACACCAACACACACACATACACACATGCTCTCATACAGCAGACAGGCAAATAAACGCCATGGAAAATTCTATGACTGACTGTGATTGCATTTACAGTTAGTTTGTATAGTACTCAATGGCAGCACCCACACCTAAAGCCCTGGCCGACCCAACCCAAATCCAAAAGAAAGCATCGTCCACAATGCACTGGGTTGAATATTTTGCAATGGTATTTTCAATGGATTTGTGGCTTTTTAGAATATTAAAAAATATTTCACACAAACTCACACACACACACATATTCCACATGCATACACCTCCACCTCCATAWATGCATGCATGCATGGCTTTTGATGCTATTTTTGTATTATTATTTTACTTTTTTTTATATATGGCACTTGGCATTTTGTGCGTTAAAGCCCTTACACGCTTTTTAAACACAGTTTTCATTATTGATGAAACTAATGCAACTTTTTGCTGTTAGCATTTGCTAAACGCGTCAAATGGTAAGCAATAATAAAAGCAGACACCCAAAAAAAATAAAAAATGAATATCACGGATGAGCTTAGAAAAACACCTATCAAATGAAAATCAAAATAAAAAGCAATTCAAACAAATAAATGCCGCAGTCGACGGCTGCATTAAAAATTGATGCATTTGGTAGTTTAGTATTGTAATGATTTAGGTATAGACGTGGTATATATATATATATAAGTATATRTTTATATTGATGTGCACGTGCACATTTCATATCCGGCATTTGTTGGCTTACCAATCACTTTGCTTAGTCCATGCCTGGCCATGAGACTTCTATTGCGCGCATGCTCAATCAAACTGATGCAATTTTGTGCCGAGCAACGACGCTTCACTGCGCAATCCGAGCTGATGTTGCCAAGGAATGTCTGCAATCAAAGAAATTCAGAGAATGAGATGCGAATCAACAAATCAACATACAGCCAGTCACGTTTAAACCAATTGGACAGGCCTCCGGAAGCTTCTGTTACACAGATGCTTCGCAACTTAAACAATCAAGCTCCGAACGGCATTTAACTTAAGTTTGACAGTATAATTTAGCATCCAGCTATGTATAGATATATATAGATATAAATCGAAACCTTATTAATACAAGCTACTTTTACTGACAAAATGATAATATAAGCGGCTTATAATTAACAGCTAAATAGAGCAAGACTATAGTTCTATATCAATACAAATCTCCAGCTGCATTACCTCAAAGAGTTTGCACGTTTCGCTATCATTGAGGCCCTGCTGCACGTAGCGTCCAAAGTTCTTGACAAAATCAGAGAGCGTCTCCTGCAGCAGCGTCTCCTTGCGCTGCGCCATGACGGATATGCACTGCAGCAGGCGCACAGCGTACCATTTGATATGCTTCTCCTTGATTTGCGGCGCGTAGTACGAAAACAAATTTAGGCAAATGCGTAGCGATCTGAAAAACGTATAGCGACTTGATTAACCATGAAGGTTATGGTGTATATGTGAGCTCACTTACCGCTGATTACCATTCCGCTTGATCTCACCATATAAATCCATCAGTATGCGACTGACTCGCGTCTTTTCCAGAGCGCGAAAGATTTTGTTCAGATTCTCCTCGGCGCTCATGCGCACCACCGAGTCGAAGTCCTCACAAAATAGCAACAACACATTGGTGGCCGTGCCACAGTGTGCGGCGTAATTGATGTGGCTGGCCAAAGCCTTTGACATAATGCATTCAGCAATTTGCTGAAAGCAGGCAATCTTTTGCTTTTGGCTGCAAGGATAGAAGAATATAGTCCAGTTAATCAAGCGGGTAATAAGTTTGCATTGTTGGCATAACGAACTGGGATAAGGAAGACTTTTTCGGGACAGGTGTCTACTTTGAGCATTAAGCATAAATTAACTTTTCATACTTCAGAAAGTGGGAAATATATCAGTAACTATTTGCTCAATATGCACTTTGATTTTTTGAAATTTATTCATTAATAAATAAATCAAATATTAATAACGCAGGTATAAAGTTATTTATAAAATTACTCAACATGCGACCAATTAATTTTATTTGAGATAGATAAAAATAAATAAAGAAATAAGTCAAATAAAATTAAAAAAATAAATAATAATAAAAGAAATATTTTTTTTATGGACCGCTTAATAGTTTTTTTTATTTTTTTTAATATTTAATTTTATGTAAATATTTAGAATATCCAGCTTAATTGCTTGCAGTGGCATTGTCATTCTAATCCCAATGTCGACAATCGGCTAACAATGTTCGCAGTGCCTACTGTAATCAACCTGGGTGTATAGGCATTTGATGACGTCACACCGGATGTGCAATGAGCCGAGCAGCCCGTTGTTAGGCTACTAAGCCGTCTGCACTCTGGGTGTTTGATCAATAAAGCGATGCAAGGCACCAAATGCATAATTGCATTACAATTTTCAGCCTGCGTTGGCCTTTTGCGCAATAACAAACTGTTGCCGGTCTGTTGCAGCCCCAGCGCAGCGAAAAAGTCGGGGCAGGCAACACAAACACAAACAAACGCTCACCTGCATTCCGTGTTACGCAGCTGGTCCACATGGCTAGTGAATTTTTCGTAAGCGCTGGACTTGTCCATTGTGTGGCGTTAATTGTGCTCTAGTTAATTACGCATTCATCACATTTTGTTTATTTGCTAGCGTGAAACTGATACTTATTTTCAATATTTTCTTTGTTTTGATGCTTCTTCTTGCCGCTGAGAGCACAGCGAACATATGTTCATTGGGTGCGCTGGGCAGCACTAACGCGCGGTGCTGCCAACCCGCTGAAATAGATAAAGTGCTGCATAACGACGGCCAAGACAATGAGCGCCAATTCAAATTTGAATTTTATTTGAGCACTAACCATACTATGGTGAGTGATATGAGTTTAAATAGGTTTGATAAATACGGAAACTAACGATTTGGATTTTATTTACTTTATTGTTTGTTATTTATACATAGTTGCGTTCATAAAATTATAATTGCTTAAATAAGAAGTGTTTTATTTTGTTCGTTTGTTTTATGATTTGTTCGTTGAGAAATATTTATGTCGTATGCATAAAATTTCCACAGAAATATATATATATATATATTTAATTATAATATGTGGTGTAGTTAACATTTATGTATATAATTACGTTTTAACTTACAAAACTTAAACCCATACAAAAATGCTTTAAGCTATTTAATGTTACAAACAAACCCCACCAATATTTATATTTTATGTATATTTTTTTGTTTTTTGTTTTTTTTTGCCTTTTTGTTTGTTTTTCTGCTTTTGTCTTTTCTTTGGGTTTGCGCCCAACTCGAGTTTGCGTGCAAATATTAAAACAAAAAAAAAGTACAATCACAGTCCATTGAAAATATATAAAATTAGTTGTTTTGTGTGCTTTTTGCCCGTTTCTGTTTTTTTTTTTTTTTTTTCATTTTATGTTTTTTTTTTTTCTTTTTAAGGTTGCTGAAAGGGGTTTGTTAAAAATATTCGACGGTTCGTGGCGTCGCTAGCTACGTTCATTCGCTTTGTGGTAGCGTTGCAAGCTTTAAATATTTACAACAATTTATTTATGTACCTCTAAACCTTACGAATTAAACTAGGTAAAATGTGCACAACTTAAATTAAGGAAAGTTTGCAAGGGAAAAAGAAGTAGAAGAAGAAGTTGCATGTGTGCTTAAATAATTTATGACAACTAGGCAGATTGAAAGAATAAAAGGGAGAGAGAAAAGCAAACAGCTAGAGACATACTAGCTAGGACCTTAGGATTTCTAAGAGCCATTGGCGCAAGAAGGAGATGGAGTAGGTAGTTGGGAGAGGAATGACTACTAAAAGCGACCTAAACTAAACGCAAACTAAATCAGTTTGACACATTTAAAATTAGTTCTCTAAAACGTAAGCCCCGCTCTAGCCGCGCTTGGAGCGCAGCACCAGCAGAGTCAGCACCAGGAATCCCAAGATCCAGGACAACGTGCTCAGGTAGCCAACATAGACGTCCGACTCGGTTATCGCCCAGCCGCGGGTCAAAATGGAGCGCAGCGAGGATGTGGCCATCGTTAGCGGCAGGCATAGGGAGATATATCTAGAAAATGAAGAAAAACAGAGTAAAGTTAGAGCTCCTGCCTGAGGGAATTGATTCAGTTTGATTATAAGTACCTCAGCACCACAGGCATGCCCTCAATGGGCCAAATGACGCCAGAGAGCAGCAGCGTGGGATAGAAGGAGCCCAGCGCCAGCTGTATGGCATTACGTTCCAGCTCACAGATGGAGGAGATGAGGAAACCAAAGCACATGCCGCACATGCCCTGCAGCAGGGTCAGCACAATCACCCAGAACAGTTCGCCGTTGTTGGTCACACCGAAGACGACCAGCATGAAGATGAGCACCAGCGTGGTCTGGCCACACATGACTACGAACTGGGTGATCACATGCGAAAAGAGAATCTCGGCGGGGGAGACGCCGGCAACCCAAGAGCGATCCAGCAGGCCCTAAGAAATGGAGTGGATTAGTAATGCAAATCATGTTGGCAATTCGTTGTCGTCTGACAACGGCCCACCTCAGTGCGTTCGATGATCAGGGCGGATGACGTCAGGGCCACAGCCAAGAAGAAGACAATACTATAAATATAATGGCATGGCATATAATTAATATCGGTAACTGATTAAGTGGGAATGCTAATGGGCACTCACGTCAATATGACGCCAGGTGCCACGAAGTCGGTAAAGGACGGATTCATTGTGCCATAGATGGGATCTCGGAACTGAATGGGCACATCGCCCAGCTTTGGATTGTTGCCGCACTGGCCGAGCAGGCCCATGGCGAAGTCACGATAGGCCAGCTGTATGTCGCGATTGAGCATGATGCCGATCTGCTGATTGGACATGTCCAGCCACACCTTCACCTCGGACTGCTCAATGGTCTCTTCGTCCGAGTCGCGTCCCAACGCAACGCGCGCTGTGAATGCATCCGTAAAGTTCTCTGTTATATAGAGAGCGCCCCAAGCATCGCCGCTTCGCACCGCCGCCTTGGCGTCCTCTATATCCGTATAATATGTTTTAGTCACGCTCGTGTTCAGATGATTCAAGTAGCGACAGCCCAGATTAGCAAAGTGACAGCCCTCCTCCCAGAAGCAGGTGTCCTGCGAAGGTAATTAGAGAAATATTATGTATTTATCTTTTTGACTTACTCAATACGAGATTAACTAACCAACTAACTAATTGAATTGAATTTTGGCTAAGCTTTGACTGGCTAACTAATTGAATAACTGATTGATTGACTATTAGAATAGAATATTGACAAAATATTGTATTTGACTAGCTAGCTGAATGAATTGACTCGTTGATTGACTTATTCTTGTCTGACAGTCGTTGATTGACTGATGGTATAATTGTATAGATTCGTTGAGAGACTATCCGACTGACTACGTGCTTGACTCGATGAATACTCTACCAACTGATTGAATGAATGACTGATTTTATAGCTCAATGATTGGCTCACTATATCAACTGAGAGGCAGCCTGATCTTTGACAGTTTTACTAAAACTAATTTGATAAACAATTGATTAAGTATAATTTTACAGGTGATTAAGTATAATATATATAATCAGACTCACCGTATTGTTCATTTCGCTGTTGACGATGGCCAAATTGAGGCCCTGGGGATCACGTCCGATGGCCAGACAGAAGAGAATGACCTGCATCACGGGCAGGGCAAAGATGAACAGCATCACGCCCACATTGCGCCACATGCGAAGCATATTCTTGGTCAGCAGAGCGCGTATCTTGCCCTTGGAGGTAATCTTGCAGAGATCCGTAAAGCAATCTTGACAGCTCTCTTCATCGTTGGGACTGTTCTGACGCTTCGAAGGCGGCGGACCATACGGCTCCTGGTTGAGCTATTGCGGTTAAGATTCATTAGGATCTATGTGCAATTTTAAGGTGTTATGTTGTCCACAACTAACCGTATAAATGGATCCATTGCTATCGTTAATGAGCACCTCCTTGCTCTGGTGGAAATTCAGACCCACAACGCCGCCCTCCTGGCTGGAGCTGGGCTTGTCCATTTTACTGCCAAAGGCCATGGCATGCAACGAGATGTTGTTACTGTCATCGTTACCAACACAAACACACACAGACACACCCACACACAGAGCGAGAGATACGGGAGAGAGAGAGACACACAGAGATGGGTACACAGATTGCAAGCATGCGAGTGTTGGGACGAATGGAAATTAAGAGAGACAAAGATTAGATGAGTGATCCTTGGGGGTTTCAGTTACAGTTGGACTACGTGCAGCATGCAGATGTCAGTGCCGAGACTCACCTGAAGTTTACTTGGCTAACGTCGCCCTTCTGGCTCTGGATGCGGGACAGCTTGAGGAACACCTCCTCCAGGCTAATGCACTTGTACATGGTCAGCAGCACACTGGGCGATTCCTCGGCCAACAAGTGTCCAGATCGCATTAGACCAATCTGCAATTGTGAATCACGTCAAACCCAATCTTGGCATAATCTCTTCGGGCTTCACTTACAGTGTGTGCCTGTCGTGCCTCCTCGATGTAATGTGTAGTTATAATCACCGTCTTTTGACCGGCCTTCGTGATGTGCACCAAATGATTCCATATGCTCTGGCGCAGCAGCGGGTCCACGCCCACCGTTGGCTCGTCCAGAATCAACAGCTCCGGATCGTGCATGAGCGCCACAGCAAAGCTGACGCGTCGCTGCTGGCCACCGCTCAGATTCTTCACCAGCCGCTTCTCCGAGGGCAGATCGAGAAAGTTGAGCAGAAACTGCAAGCGCTCCAAGATCTCCTTGGTCTCCATGCCAAAGATCCAGCCGAAGTACATCATGGTCTCCTGTATGGAGAACTCCCCATAGAGAGCAATCTCTTGCGGCATATAGCCCACCCGTTTACCGGGCACGCCGGAGCCACGTGTGCCGGGCTTGCCGCCCAGCACAAAGATCTCGCCGGAGTCTATGCTRCGACGACCCACAATGCAGGAGAGCAGAGTGGTCTTGCCGCAGCCAGAGGCGCCCAGCAGGCCATAGCTGCAAGCAGGAAACGTATTAAGAGTTGCGAAAATGCATGTTTTAAGTGGGTTCTTTTTGTCAGTGTATATGTATAACTGTAAGATAATGAGTCAGTATTTTTAATGGGACTGTTTAAGTAGCACAAATGAGTCAGATATGATACACATACCCTAGAGCCAGTCCAAAAGCTAAGGTTAAGATATGACTCAAAGAAAAAACTTTTTCTTACATATATATTAATTAAAAGGTTTATAGTTTTTCCATAAAAGAGTGATAATTGAAGTGAAATTTGTGAACTAATTATAAACGGAAAATTCAATATACACATATCATATTTTCATATAGACAAATGAGCAATTAAAAAGAGAGAGAGAGAGAGAGAGATAGCTGCTGTTAATCAGTGCTAATCTATGGAAACTTACTTTTGTTATTCCAACCAGCAAATATTCCAATTATGCAAATATTCCTGCCCCGCCCACAAATACAACTTGCAATCACCCAAAACATAAGCAGAAGTACTTGCCAACAGAATTTACATATTTATTTTGTTTTCATTTCTGCTTTGGTTTTTTTTTTTTATTTTTATTTATTTTTTAGCAATTGACCGTTTTTAGCTGCTAGCAAAACGCCTTTTGTGCGCATTCAGCGCGAAAATTAGATAAATCGAGAAGTACTAAGTGCTGACGAGCACATTGCCAGCAGCAAAGCAACGTAGCTGAGCGCGATGCTATTCGTGCCGTGTCAACGGCGATGTCAATGTTAATTTCAGCAGTTCAAGTTGAATTATTTCGAAATGTTCACCTTGAAATCGGAGACATGTTTTTCGCAGTCAACTAGCAAATGCCGCAACACGACTCCACCTTCTTTGCCAGACCTACAATCATCAAAGCAACAACAATAACAATAACAACAACAACAGTACAACTATTATTATTATTATTGTTATCGTTTCGTTATAGAGACCCCGGTCTCTGTTGTCTATCTAGCTATGTGGTCTTTGGTTTTGGCTCTTACAGCTTTCGGCCTTTGACAATATTTCGGAGCACGTAGGTCGCACGTTTCGGTTTGTTATTGGATTTATTATTATAATTAACACGCTGCAGCATTTAACGAATCGACCGTTTTAGTTTTTTTGTCTTCTACTTCGTTCATGAAAATGTCGGCGGCTCAGCTATTAATTAACGCAGCGACTTTGACACGACCCAAAAACGAGAAATGAAAACTAAGAGAAAAAAACTCTAATTCACAAAGCTCTGGGCTCTGAGGTTCATTGACTGCAAGCCTGACCTAGGTCAAGCCGAAATTGATCAAGCTTAACGGTTGTTCAAGCGCTCGACCACATTTTAACATATCCCAGACATAATATCTGTATGGCACTCGCTTCTGGGTCAAGCACAGAATTAAATGCAGTTAGGAAACATATGAGTGTGTGTATGTGTGTGTGTGTGTGTGTAAGCTTGTTTACTTTTAATATTTTTAATGTTCGGCTTGCGCAATCAGTTGCTCGTATGCGGCTCGTATAAGAATGCCTGGTTAACAGTCATGCCAATGCCAAAGCCGAATATCATAAAAATAATTCGCGATTTGATTTTTATGGCCGCTAAATGTTTGCCAAAAAAAAAAAAACTCAAACGAACGGCCAAAATCGAGAGCGAGCTATAAAGCCAGTGAGAAGGAAAGAGTCGGAGAGTTAGAGACAGAGAGAGAAAGCAATAGGCAATTTAATTGATTTTGGTATATTTATGGTTTCGTCGCCAATTTTGTGCGTTCGCAATGAATACTTATAAGAATAATTATAAGTCTCTGATATCTTTCAGGGCTACCAAACAAACCATAGGGAAAATTGAATCGACTCTAGTACTGGTAAATATGTACGTACTTTAACTATGCGAGCTCAATACTGAATCAATTCATAAAACTTTATAAATCCATTTGATAAATGTAATAAACTGATACCAATAGAAACATAATCTGATTCAGCTAGCAGCGATCTAATGATCAGGCACTCAACCATACTTAATATGCTAAATAAGTAACAAATTAGTTTCGATTCTTGTCAATATTGAGATTTCTGAAGAACTCTGGCAATCCTATTCCATAGAAGTGCACGCTGTAAACACGTTTAATTTGCCTCAGCATCACATTACAATGCAAAAATGTTGTTTCGATTGCAAGACGCCTGAAACTAGTTACGCTTGTATTCAGATCAAACTAAGTGCACACATACGCATACACAAACAGATATATATATTTATATATATATATGTAGAAGCATAGTTAATTACGGCTATTAAAACTGGCCTTTGATTAGGCCACACGGAAAATGCACGCTAATTGTGTAATCGTATAGCAGGCACAAGGAAATTTAGATTCAAAGCTAACTTAACATTGAATGCAGCTCACATTTATTATATGTATATCTCAATATATATTGATATATGTATATAACATAAATAGTAAGTATCACAGCGTGATGTTGGTGCCACAGATTTGATATAGCGTTAAATGATATGTGTGAATTACTTTCGCCGTTTCTAATTCATATGGCCTGCTAATGGAAGCTGTCAACATTTCACTTTTATGGTCAAACTCAAAAACATTCATCTGTCAATGTATTCATGTTTCTATATGTTTAGGTTTGTGTGCGTGTGTGTACTTACATTGTGCCCTTGGGTACCGTCATATTCAAATTGTTCAACACTTGATTGGCGTTCTTCTTCTTGCCGTAGGCTTTAAAGGCGTGTCGCACTGACACCGCCGCCTGTGTATTGCTCGCTCCTGTCGCGGGGGCACCCCAAACGCTCACCGGATTCACTTGTGTGCCCCCATCGTTGTTTGTGGCCGTCATCACGGAGTCTGTGGAGACGCTGTAAATGAATTAGAAAGACAACAAACGAGTATGTTAATAAGGGAGGCTGTGACAATGTATAATAAATGTATAATAAACCGTAACTAAATACCAGATACGTCATAAAAAAAAAAAGAAAACAAAAGTGGCATCAAGTTTGTTGCCTAAGTCATTCGTTTTAGAATCGTGCACAACGTTCACCATTTCCTGTTGACCCACTCCCCAATGCAGCCAGCTGCTAGTCATTAATACACATAACCAGTAAGTATGCTCGAATGGGCTGAGAGATGATAGACCAACAGATATCCTGTACTGAGTATAGCTGCTTTATGATGCTCTTTCTCTTATAATTATTATATAAAAATATATATCTCTTATATATTTCATAAAAAAAAAACTAAAATTTACAAAAGGAGGAAAATTATCTCTGAGATAAGCCAGCATATCGTGACTATAGCCTATCAACACATCTTTGTTTTACAGGGTATCACAACTATGCCAGTATCACATTGCAAAAAAAAACATAAAGCAAGCGACTTATGTGAGCAACAACAAAGTTGCTTGGCAACACTTTTCTTTTCAATACATAAATTGACCAAGCCATTTGGAAGCCGCACACATATACACAGAAAGACAAGCACATACATACAAACACTAGACTATGCAGTGAAGAGTCTTACTCAATTTGTATTTTTTTTTTTTTTTTTTTTTTGCCAACACACTTTGGCGTGCAAGTGAATGCCTCCGAGTGGCCAGAGCTGGCCAGTTCGGGTCTGGCATGGTCTGCTCGATTGCCCAACGACAGCAGCAACAGTTGGTCAGCCGTTAAGCAAATACATGTACCCATACTTATGCAAAATGCATTCGCATTTGTTGCCGCCGCTGCCGCTGCCACTGCTGCTGCTGCTACTATTTGTATTTGCATTTTCATTTGACGCGTTTATTGTGCAATTGCAATACAAATACGACCCGCCGACTCCCTAATTGAGTTAGCCGGCGCATGCCCCAAACTGCACCCAGACTTTATGTGAGTGGCGGGAATGCTTCATTTGGGTCAAGGTTAGCTACGCCGTGGGCCAAATGATTATCTTTGGCAAAGAGAGCAACTAATTGGCTGGCAAACACTCAGGCAGACGCATACTAACATGCTCTTCATATGATTTACACCTCTTTAACCTTTTTAGACTGCTCTCGGGCATTTTGAAGTCATTTTTCATAAAGCGCACGTCATAGCGAGAGAGAGAAAATGAAGCGAGTATTAATAATACTAAATGTGTTTAAAGCAAACAAATTTTTGATTGGAAATTAGTTCAAGGTCATTGATCGAACGTTGCCAGCTCCATACAAGATTGTCGCTGGCATTTTGCTAATCGATTGCGCTGTATATAAATATTTATAAGCAGCCAATCAGTAAGCCAATGTTAGCATTTTGTTTAAGCTAACATCTCCAATCGACACCGCGTAGGAATGAGAATTGCCCAATACTTTACGCCGAGTGCAAACATCCTCAACAGATAAAATAAAAATAAAACTCTATTTGCATATTGCGGCTGGCCGGGCAACACCTTAGGCTTTGGCCAAATTAATTCTGTAAATGAAACGCATTTCAGAAATGTCATGCTGCAACAAAAACAAAACGACTAACGAGTCCGAATGCTGACGAAATGTATTTCAAGTTCGTTGCTTGAGTCTTTCGATTTGCGTATTGTGTGTTGTCTATTATATTGAGTTGAGTTGAGTTAGTCAGAGCCAAACAGCAGTTGTGTGTGCGTAAATTGCGTAAATTTATGTGTGCCTTTGTACGCGTGGTATGTGCATGTGTGGAAGTGATGTGTCTATCTGTGTGTGCGTGTGTGTGTGTGCACAGTCAACAATGGACAAGGTCAGGCCAAGTAGTTTTTTATAATAACAACAGGCCAACGTTTTTTTTTTTTTTTTAGTTTTTTTTTTTTTTTGCGCTTGACATTTATGGCTGGAAATTTGAGCGCTTTGTTTGTTTGTTGTTGGCGTTTGTGCATGGTTATTGATAATTTAATTAGCTATTAGAGCGCCATTTATTTTTACACACACGCACACACCGCATACACATAATCTATGTGCATTTGCTTAACTTTTTTCGGGTGACAAAATGAAGTTTCAAAATCCCCCGTGAGAAATGTCACAAACTTAGGCAATCACCCAAATATTTGTGAAGCAGGTAATGCTATCTGTTTCCTGAAATACCCAAAAATAACTTATTTTAATTAAGTGGGCACAGTCTAGCGCTGTCATTTAAATAAATTTATAGCCCAACTAAAAGTACAAAAAACTCATAAAACTATTTGTATGTAAGTTGTCTCAGATAAATACTTTAGACACCGTGCCTAATACAGTGTAAACAGTTGAGCAACACTCGAATTGACAGTTTGTAATTATAATGTGGTCATAAGGTCCATACACCTACTCTGTCTATGAGCTCATCTGCTAGGCTGTATGGCTGCCTGCAGCTGGCTGCCGGTCAAGTTAGCGTTTTTCTGTAATTTCTGTGTAAATCCCAGGGAGTCAGGGCGCTGAGTCAGCAGACAGGAAATGTTTTCCGCCAGGCGAGAGCTAACTATTTTGTTTTGTTTATTTTGACAATCACCCATAGTGCACTTACATAAGCCGAGCTGCTGGGACGAACAGCAGCCGCTTGAGAATGATCGATGATTGAGCTATCTAATCATATGCAATCAAGTTAATGCTAAGCACGCAATGTAAACAAGTCCAGACGCACTTAAGATCGCGCTCTGTCTCTTTCACTCAGAGCTGGGCGTTCGTCACGGCTGAATGTGCGGCGTGATGGGAATATGAATGAATACACTCAATCCTCGAGGAATGTTTGCACAGAGAGTACAGCCTGCACATGTCTGGCGAATTCCGCGATAACAAGAAGATAATTCTGGAATTTCCATTCAAACATGCAAATTGAGAGGCAAACAATAAAAGCAGGAACCGCAAGAAGAAACTTGAAATAAGTTCAACGATATTCGAATACCAGTTAAGTCTGTCGCTGGCAGAGTATCTGTTCGTCACATATTCGGTTAATCGAATGTAATCTTTTATCGCTAGCGTGTGGCATATAAATTATCGAGTTCTATTCATAATCATTCAAATTTGAACGGAAGCATATTGGGCTTTGTTCAATACGTCAATACCTTTATAAACCATGTGAAATCGCCTGAAGATGCAGACGAATGAGCTATTGATATGGTAACATTATGCAATGAGCCACCGAGTATGAGTATTTGACACAATTATAAACTTGTTCGCCCTGCGTAAAAATGCGGTCGGACTTTTCGCTTGACGCAGCTCGCAAATATGCAAAAGAGACAAACACACACACACACACACATACACTCAGACAGACATACATGCAAAAAAAGTGACTGCGCGAAGGGCGAAGCGTAGGAAAAGTCAAATCCCAAGCTATAGGCGAGAGAGACCTCACAGATCTCTCCAAAGCTGCGCAGCTTATGCAATATTTGTGGGGCGACAAAGTGCAAAAGCAACAGCAGGAAGACTAACTGACTGACTGACTGCCTGGCTGAATGAATGACTGACTGATTGACTCGTCGCAAAGGAAGCTCGCAATCGAGTTTTTGTATMAAAAAAAAAAAAAAAAAAAAAAAACGCCCGACTCAAGCTCAACTGGGTCAACATCAGTGGGTCAAAAATTCAATTTTGTTGCTTTGTTTTATTTTTTGTGGGCTTCACATTTTGATTGCAATTAACAATAGTTGTTGCTGCTGTTGCTACTGTTGTTGTTGTTGTTGTTGTTGTTGTTGTTGTTGTTGTTTATTTAACACTTTTACTTACGTTGATATCAGCATTTTGTTGTGCTTTGTTGTTGCGCCGCCTTTGGTGGGTGTTTGTTTGCTTTGATTATGTTTAGCGCTATTTGGCTTTACTTTGTTTAGCTATTTAAAGGCTAGTTACACTGCCTTTTACCCAAAAAAAATATTTCAAACAATTTTGAAAACGTAATTCGTAACTCTGCGTTGCGCCGAACCTTTTGCAATGTTCAAGTGGAGTTTAGCGTTTTATGCCCACATTGCTGAAATGTACATAAATAATTGTATATATATATATATATATAAATATATATATATATAGAGAGAGAGAGACAATGCTCATGTTGAGAGCATAAATTGTTGCTTTATCTGGAGATTGACGAGCTCTCATGGCATAGTTTTCTGTTTTGCATCACATCAACATCAACTGACGACACATTGTGGCTGCTGCATACGAATGATGCAGACGAGTATACCCTCTCTCGATGCAGAGTAATGCAACCGGTTTCAGCACTCAATTGTAAATGTTGCCTGCCTATGAATCACTGTTTTAACTAAATTGAATGGAAATGACTGTAACTAGACTATCCGTAACAATGAGTATAGATTGAATTCCTACGAAACCACTGAGTAGCGTATATTAAGTTCGATATCGTACAATCATTCACAACAAAGAAAACGGCTCTGCGGTTGAGCTTCTGTTAATTTCTGGTCCCGTTACTGCCAAGTCATGCTGCATTATTGAAACATGACCATCTGACCGAAGATCGCTTACACTGCTATAACTGCATATACATATATTGAAGCAATTAATTGAATTGGTATATCAAACCGAAGTCCAAAAGCCGACTGCAGCGCCTTTTCGAGGACATGGCTTAATGATGATTGCAACGGTGATTTACTTTACATAGTTGTCAATCAACACAGTCACACTAACTGTCTCTTAAATATTAGTTTGTCTCAAGAGTTACTGCTGCTGCTGTTGATGCTATTGTTGTACCGTTGCCATACAAAGTGCAAGTTGACATGCAAATGCAAGCGGAAAGTTTTTGCGTCATGCATCAGCAAATTCTAAAATCATATTTAATAGCCAAATACAGAATTTCAACAACATTTGAAGCACTTTGACGCATGACGCATTTGCCTAAGTGGCCAACAAAAACAACAACAGAAACAATAACAACAACAACATGGGGTTCAACGAATTCGCGGCACAAATAAATAAACCACAACAATGAGCATTTTGGCCAAATCAACTGGACACACACACACACACACTTAAGCATAACTGGTTGTAACTAAAGAAATACTTTTAAGCAAGTAAGAAATAAATTTTTTATGTTCCCCTGGCCGAAACATGAATACACTTTAATAGGGTGAATTTTTTTAAATTTTAATTTATCATTTATTTTTAATGAATATCTAAAAGTTTATTTAATTTGTTGAATTTTTTTTTCTTATTTTTTTTTTTTTTTTTTGTTTTTATTAATTTTTTTGTTTGTTATATGTTAACATTAGTTTTGCTTTTATATTTATTTTCATATATAATTTGAAAATTAAAAAAAAAAAAAAAATTGAATATTAGTCATTAAAAAAAAAAAAATATTTAATCCATATATGACGAGATACCCCTTAAGCTATCAACACACTCTATGCTAGGGTATACTATGTATGTGAGCTTGCCAAATGTTGAGCAATACGCAACAGGCAGACAAGCATTGGGAGCAGCTGCTTGTGTTTAAATGGCCAATAAAGACAATTATATGTATATATATATATCTGTCTCTCTAAGCAATTTGCATAGTTTTCATTTTTCAATTCACATTTTGGCTATCAATGAGGCAATTGACAAACGGCGAACGATCTGTACGCGTACCGGAAAATCCTAAATGGATGTTTATGAATTCGTTTGCTGCCCAAAAAATTCGAATGAAGGAACGGTATTCTAATTTAATTGCTAGCATGTTTTGCGTGCGTGATATGAAAATTGAAAATAATAATAAGTAATGAGAAATAAAATATAAAATGTAAATAAGCGCGGCATGTGACTGCCATTAAAGTGGGCCTTAGGGCTGGGCAACGCGTGGCCCATAGATATGGGCCTAGAACTGCTTTGGCCGAAAGCAACTGAACAGCTGAACAGTTGGCAAGACTTTCGCTCTCTGTTGGACTCGCATATGTTTTCCCATGGCGTTTCGTTTTCCACTTTGCTTGTTTTTCCGATGACATAATTTTAGCCACATACCGAGTGAGTGCGAGTGTGTGTATGTGTGTGCAGCTGTGTGCGACACAGTTTTGTGTCTGCAACGGCTGCAACTTCTTCGGCAACGGCAACGGCAACAACTTGTTGCAGCAACTTGCAAACCAGTTAAGCTTAATTTACTCGTGGCTAACTTTAGTTTCAGTTGTTACTGTTGCAGTTGTTGTTGTTGTGGCAACTGGTACTGCGGCCTGTTTATATGATATTTTTGCAGCACACCCGCAACAACAAGCATTTATTGCCATCCTTAAATAATCTTTTGGCCAAGAATTTAGCAATCTAGCTCCTCGCCTGGTTTGCCACCTATATTAACAATTAACTAAACTGCAGCTCTTTAGCTTAACAGCTCAATTGCAGCTACATTGTTAGAGAATGTATGTATAATTGCCGCAACTACTAAGTAATTTACTTGATAATTAAATTTAATTATTTGCTTTTGCATAACAGCCAGCAGTGAAAGAAAAAAATGTTTTTAACTGCGCGAGAAGGAAAACAGCTGCGACACGTGCGTAAATTTCAGAATTAAATATGCAAATAGCTACAAATTTTGTTACCCCTTGAAGCTATTCGCATTATTGATTGATATTTAAGGTTCACAGTTCAATAACACTCTTCCTAATACGTGTAATAAAAGCTAAAATAATACTTTGTTAACACAGCGCTGTCAGCGCGGCTGTCTCATTAGAGCCTTTCTATTATAGCCTTTCATATTATCTGCCTTAATGTCAGCGACAAAGCATTTTTAATTGAGCCATTAGAGTCTGTAATTAAATGGCACAGCTCGAGTCTAGAATTCAGCTTAATTATGAAAGTCTCGTTTCCTATCTTAACCGATTTGTAATATGTCTCTAAATACTATGGGTCGGCCGATTTAATTGGCATAAATGCTCAATCGAACCAACTAGAACTGTACGCTTTGCATAACACCTTTTTACCATATAAACACGATAATTGCCTTGATTTTTATAACGAGCTAAAAAAAATGTAAAAAAAAAAAAACATCTAGATTCAGATATAATATGCATTTTACTAGTTTTCTGAAGGCTCCTTGAACTCTGCCGCGCGTGATGAACACACAACAAAGCGGAGTAAGAGAAAAAAAAGAAGTGAACAAAAGAAGAAGAAGGCAAGAAAGACAACCAAAATGAGAGAAGAAAAAAACCCCCAAGCCGAAAATACCAGTTCAAGTTGAAGCTTTTGAGCGCTGCACAGTTCGGAAATGCACAGAGCATCGAATGTGGCAAGAAGACCTTGACAACAAAATTTCAGGGCCTCCCTCGACGAAGGTCGTTGGGTGCACACAACATGCGACAATGAATGCAGATAAATGTTTATTTCCAGAGACAAAACGCAGTCAGATTAAAGCGACTACTTTCGCATGTGATTGCTTGATCTGGCTGTAACTATAAACATATATATATATATCATATATAGTATACAATATAAGGCTGTATATATGTTTGTCTATATTTGCACTGAAAATGCGAAAAAGTCGTAACACCCATTTGCACTGAACTTTACTCTCGAAATTGTTAGCAACAGCAGAAATGCACGTCAAAGCGACTTATAGACGGGCTTACGGAGCGTATCTTTAAGGCCGGCATTGCGGGCCTCCCCGTTCGCGCGTGCAAATTGCTATTGACCTCTTGCCCAGTGCAGTCATCGTCGCTATAGTTGTTAATTATAGCCAATTAGAAACGACCTGGAAACGCGGCTGAGCGCTGAGCCTGATTTCTGATTTCTGATTTCTGTTGTCTGGGCAAGTATTGGGCAATGCATTGATCAGTTGATAATGATCACATTTAATCACCATATCATTAGTCAAATAAACAACTCTCTGCAATTAGAGTAACTAATTTAGCCTAAAGACATTTGCCACTCACGGACTTATTCAGCAAAATGTCATCATTGAGATAAATCAAACTTTGCACTTTTCTTACAAGCATTTAGATATGGAATTATATGCATTACTTAATGATATGCCAGTCTAATGACATGAATCAATATCAATAGCAGCTTACAGCTTTATGTAAAAACCTCCAGCTATGCAGCTCTATGGAAACTGTCTACTTATTGAGCTCAGCTCTCAATAGAGCTTTAGAAATTTAAATATCTACCCATTGATATAGTATATATATATATATACCTTGCATAGAAATAATCTTATATCTTATAATTATCAATGTAAATTATTAAGATTTAAATCGTATATAGATTCAACTTTCAGTTTTGATATCCGAGTTCTACTCGCTCGATTTACAGATAAATGTTCAGAACAAAATCTTTTCTGATTATTATTCTATAGAAATCAACATCAAACTATTAAGACTCCATATTTGTAATCTGAAATAGTTATTTCGCCAATCTTGAATCTCTAGTATAGATCGAAATTGAAATAAAAGCACATATGAAGCTCTCATTTTATGAATACATTTCTCAAATGATAATCCATTAAAGCGCCATATGTAGCAAATGTGAGTGCCGATCCAAAGCCGTGTCTCGCTCGTATTCGGATATGATTGCGAATATTCTAATGGCGTTTCGGGATTGGATACAAGGCACAAAGCTGTCCATTTGTATGCGCAGCACTTGGGACTGAGGAGCGTTTGCACATTTTAAGTAAACAGTAGCCAGAGCCAGAGCCACAACCACAGCAGAGGCTTGAATAGGAGGCGTAGCGGGGTCTATAGTCACGTTATGAGTCTCTGTTTTCTTGTTGTTTTCATTTTGTGATGATGTGGACAATGATCGAGGGTCCGACAAAGTAATTGTCGACTCGACGAAGAGACAACAGAGCGGCAGCCATTTGTATTACAAAGAATATTTATGGTATTATTAATATTCTTATTATTATGCTGATGTTCGAGAGAGGCTTTTGTTGTTGCCATTCTGCCTAATGATGTTTGCGCAACGATTTCCTGCAACATGTAGCACTTGAGGTGCCAAGCTCGTCAAACTCCAAATCGAAAAGCTCGCAATTGTTGACTTAGCTAATTCACACTTACAGTTCGCGTTCTGAAGACGTTTCCTGTCCGCTGGATATGTATGTGTGTGTGTGTGCGTCTGCGTCCGCGTGTGTGTTTATCTGCGAGTGTGTAGGTGAGTCGATAAGTGTCGTCAATAGAGCAAATATATTTGCACAATTTGTTGCTAGGCTTGCGCGTTGTTCGTCTGCCTTTGTTGTATTAATTCACTGATTGCTTGATTGCTCTCGTGTAACAGAAGACTTAAGACACAAACTTCAGTCGCTAGCTGTACGCACAGATTTATGTTGCTTCTGATATCAATCAATGGCCGCACTGTATTATCGTTATCGCTCACTAGATATCGCGGCGTATGGCAGAGCGGGAGCAAGTTCGCAGACGCGTGTGTTGCGGTTTAAGCTGCGACTAAGACTGACTTCAAGCCGTTGCTCAAGCTGTGAGCTGAGCTACGCTGATGCTCTACGACGGCGACGTCGCTGCCAGCTTTGCACTTTACACTTTGTCTGTGAGAGAGATGGCGCGCGTGTGTGTGAGTGTGTATTATACAGACAGAGCGAGAGAGAGAGCGCGAGCGATCGAACTGAGTGTTTCTCCAGAGGCTGCTGCACTTTTGCACGTGCGTGTGTGTTGCTGTCTCGCTGCTGCTAGAAGCACAACTGAATGCCAAAGCACCTGTGCGAACAGCGCCATGCAAAAGCACTCAAAGAAACACTCAAACGCAAACTGAGCTGTGCTTTGCTCTGCCTCTGCCTTGGCCTCTGCTTCTGCCTTGGCAGAGCGACTCGTAGAAAGAGCGCGTCACGTCTGGCGCTTTTTGAGCGCTTTTCTCAGAGAGCTTACAAGTTTGTTGCCTTCGTTTGTTGCTCCTGTGCGTGGCAGCAACAATAACAACACTGAGCTCGTTCACCTTCAAAGCATTCAGCATGCGTGCGGGCTTTAGTTGTTGTTGCTGCCTAGCACAGAAGGGCTTCTTGTTGCCGCTGCAGTTGGGTTTTTCGACGTCGCTGTTGTGACGTTGACGCTAAAGCTGACGTTGACGTTGACGTCGCCGATGGCGTCGCGCCAAGCTTATGTAAGAGGGCGACCTTGAGGGCGACGCGTCGCTTTACATGCCGCGCATAAAACAATGCGCGGCTTCTTCTTCTTCTTCTTATGAGCAACCAGAATTGCAACAGCCGAACCACTCACCATTCACTCGGTCGCCGCTAATTGCATCACCTGTTGAAAAGGCAGCCAGCCAGGTTCTGGCTGCTGCCTGGTATTTAGACCTGGTCCCAAAATGAAGCCGGAAATACGTAGACAATAAAAAAAATATTATAAGATTTGAATTCATCACTGATCCAGGCAGCAAAACATTAAAAACAAATGCGAATCGTAATTATAAGCTATAATTTGTCGAAATTGCTCTTAATGCCAAATATGCGTGCGCATTAAGAAGTCACAGCCGCAGTCAAAGACACGTCAATGAGTTTTGGCTTTTTGCGCGTGGTCAAGGCGAAACTAAATGCTTTAATTGTAATAATTAAAGCGGCACAGAATCGACTCGAGAATTGATGTGTGATGGACGGGCGTGTGCAGACGTCGCATCCACAAACCACAAAAAAATCAATAGCAAATCACAAAATAACAGCGACGGCAACGACAACAAACAACAACATCAATTTGAGACTGAGTATTGCACAATTTCAATGTCAGGCATATGTTAACAGTTTGAGGGTCTCACTTAGGGCGTTCCAACTCGAAACCATGTTAAAGAGACACAGAAGAAGGCGAATGACAAGAAAACGTAAACGGGCAATAACGAAGAGCAAATGCTCTACTAATGAAAATAATTATTAATATAAAATTAAACAAAAGTATATAGTAAATATAGATCCACAATAACATATTGAGATATTTGTTTTAAAAATTAATATTTTTCATACTATTTTATACA